ATAATAATAATAATAGAATTATAGAGTTTCATAATAATAATAATAATAATAGAATCATATAGTTGGATAATAATAATAATAATAGAATCATATAGTTGGATAACAATAACAATAATAATAATAGAATTGGATAATAATAATAATAATAATAATAATAATAGAATCATAGAGTTCAATAATAATAGAATCATAGAATCATAGAGTTGAATAATAATAATCATAATAATGGAATCATAGAGTTGGATAATAATGATAATAATAATAAAATTATGGAGTTCAGTAATAATAATAATAGTAGAATCATAGAATTGGATAATAATAATAATAGAATCATAGAGTTGGAAAATCATCATCATCATCATCATAGTTTCTTACTCACCTTTCCTCACCTTGATCCATGACTCATCAATTTAAAAAGAACAAACAAGACACATACATATTAAAACAACCTATGTACTACTCCTACTCCTACTCCTACTCCTATTCCTCCTATTATTTATTTCTTATCCACTTCTCCCCATGGATTGAGGCAGGGCACAACAACAGATCAACCAATATGCATCAGTTAAGAACACAACATCAGTTAAAACATACATCACTTTAAAAGAACAAACAAGACACATACATATTAAAACAATCTATGTTATTGTTGTTATTGTTATTATTATTATTATTATTATTATTATTATTATTATTATTATTATTATTATTTCTTACCCGCCTCTCCTTGTGGATTGAGGCAGGGCACAACAACAGATATACATCAGTTAAGAGCATAATATCATTTAAGCATACATCAATTTAAACGAGACACATGTATATCAAAACCATCTAGGTTTAAAATTCATTGGATAATGTGAGGGCCAATTTCTCTTTCCATTGGGGTCTGCCCAGCTCTTCCTCCCTCCTGTGGGTCTTCTGAAGAAAATTCTTCTATGGATTCCACAGGGGAACTCCCTGCCACAAGATGGGATGGGTGCAGGCTGAGATTTTTTTTTTTTTTTAATCTTTCTAAAGGCATGACAAAGTCATGGAAGAGCTGTCTCTAAATTCAGATAACTACCTCCCTCGAGTGACAGAGTGGGGCTGGACTTTAGAGGCTGAGAATAAACCACAAAGGCTGCTGCTACAGCCTAGGTGGGGGCTGACCTAAGGCTTAATTGGCTCCATACTATTTGTTCCACACTTTGTTGTTGTTGCTGTGTGCTTTTGAGTCGTTTCTGACTACGGCGACCCTATTGCAGGGTTTTCTTGGCAGGTTTCTTCAGAGGGAGTTTGCCATGGCCATCCTCTGAGGCTGAGAGTGTATGACTTGCTCAAGGTCACCCAGTGGGCTTTCATGGCCAACAAAGGATTCGAACTCTAGTTTCCAGAGTCATAGTCCAATGCTCAAACCACTACACCATGCAATCTCCTTTGTTCCACAGTATTTGTTCTGAATTAGTTCCACAGTGGGTCTAAGCACTGATGAGGAAACTGGATCCTCTTGGTAATGATAAACGACTACTAACCACCCCTTACCTCTGGTCAGGCTGACAAGGATTGATGGGAGTTGTAGTCCAAACCTCAGCTCCCCAACCCTTCCCATATGTTTTCAGAGGCATGTGGGTAGCTACTGATGGAAAAAGGATACCAGGCAAGGAAAAGACTGAGTATTGCATGTACTTGGATAGTACTGGTGGTGCCATAACCGTCTTTTAAAGTTGGACGATAAACAGGAAGGATAAAGGGAAAGGGAGAGAGAAAAGGAAAGGGAGGAACAGAAGGAGAAAGAGGCAGAAAAATAAGGCAAGAGAAAAGATCAGATCCAAAGTGAGTATAAAAATAATAGTAATACTCATTATCTTAATCAAAGGTTTAAAATTCAGATCCCTGTTGCAGGTTAAAGGTGGGTTCCTGGCTTTTAGGAGGAGGATTGCCACGAAAGCCTAGCAGGGCACTATCCCTTCCTCTGCCCCTAATCAGGCTTGTAATCCTTTTTGCTTGGTAGGAAGGAGCAAAACTCTGATTTTCTCCTCCACTACCAATAGAGCATAAAGTGCAAAATGGCAGGTGCTCCACATGGGAGCCCAGCTCACACTTTCCCTGAATGGAGAGATATCACACAAATTGTTATATGTGTTATGTGGTGGAGGGTACATCTATGTGTATATTACTCCAACACATAAATAGTCCTGCCTGCCTGGAACCCTGCATGGGGTGGGCTGAGGACTAGCAATGTTACTTTGAGGCTGTAAAATTTATTATTATTATTATTATTATTATTATTATTATTATTATTATTATTATTATCCTACCTTTCTCCCACTATAGGGACTCAAGGCAGCTAACAAAAATTTATAGCTGTACAAGTTAAAAATTATACAAGCATTAAAATGTAGATACAAAGTTTTTTTTATAAAAAAGTTAAATGTTAATTGTTTAAAACAACAAAGGATGTGACAAAGCTGTAAAGCAAGCAGGTATGTAATGGCATAAATTGTCTTCCCCATCCTAGGGCCCTCCAGATATAGTTTTAAATATCTGGAGAACCTGAGATTGAGAAAGACTGGCATAAGCTTTTGCACATTGGAGCATGGTTGAAGAATGTATCCCTCCAGATGTTGTTTAACTCCAGTTCCAATCAGCCCTAGCCATGGTGAGACATGATGGGAATGGTAGTCCATCAATACCTGGAGTCTCTCATCCCAAAGAGCCAAGCATCACTTCCAGTTTCTCTCTCTGTCTCTCTTTCCTCTCTTGCTTCCCTTGTTGACATTGTATAAGATTTTACTTTTACAATTTTTTCTCATCCCTTTCCACATGTGCCTTCCTTCCTGTATCCATGCACACTTAGTCTATTAATCCATCTCTACCCATTCCCATTGATATGCTGTGTCTAAGCCTTCCCTAGGTTTGTTATCTCCAGCCATTTTGATTGTGCCTTAAGCGTGTTACTTTCTGAAGGTCTCTCTCTTCAGCATGGTGTCATTGTCCAAGTTTTAAATCCTATTGTATGTGACGCTGCCCTACAAATCTGTGGAACAAAATCCAAAATCCACAAAAGAATGATGCCCTTATTGATGCCCAACCAAAATGCACAAAATACATCATGCAAGCTTTTGAAGCTTTATCAGACAAATATGCTAAAAATCATACAGAGGAAAGGTGACAATGTTAGACTCACAGCCCTACGTTTTGTCTCAGATGTTGCTCTGTTGTCAGCTATTGACAAATCTCAATGCTGGCAGAAGCTGCACCCCTTCTTGGCCATTGGGAACCAGGGACAAAGGGCAATAAGAGGCAGATAATAAAATTTCAACAAACTCCATTAGCAACAGAAAAATAACTTCCCTTGAGACCCAGGTTGTCCTTGTGTGAAGCTAACTGCTTCTTTCTTGATTATCTCTGAATATCTCAAGAAGTACCTGTACATCTTGAAAAATGTTTAGGTGCTGAATAGGTAATTTTGGACAGTTGTAATCCAAATGGGAAAAAATTATCTTTGTTGGAGGGGAAAACCTCAGAGAGTTAAGTCCCAGTCCATTAGCTCCCTCTTCTTAAAGAGTGATTCATTCTGTAATGGATTCTATAGTGATCCATTCTCTCCTTGTTGTTAAGAGTTGGGACAAGGCAATTGTGTGGAAACAAAACAATATCCCTGCTCTGTGTGACCACTTGCCATGCTGGCTGGAAATTACTGGGAGTCCTAATCCAGCATATCTGGGGGTGGGGCACCAGGTTGGGGAAGGCTGACCTAATTTGACTGTGGTTATGAAGGATCCTATTTTGAAGGAGATGTTGGATTTGATGATCTCAAGGAATTTTTAGTCCTATCAATGTGTTTAGCAGTACAGAAACTATGGGTAGCTCCAGTAACTGAGCACCCACCTACATCTTCTCTCTCTCTCTTCTTATATAACCCTGTATTAAGTAACATACTCATGTATTTCCCACTCATTTTGATTCTTCATGCCACCCTTGTCATACTTCTTCTCCCATTACCATCTCTGCTTCCAGAGCCACCAATGTCCCTCCTGCCAGCTCCCACTTAGCGAAACCTGTGGATCAACTCCTAGGATGCTGCTTTCAGATTTGGGGGCAACAAGTATTCACTTGATTGCTAAGACATGATACTGCACATACTGTATATAATCATGTATAAGTCTAGAAATTTTGGTCGAAAATTGACCCCAAAAAACTTGAGTTGACTTATCCATGGGTCAATGTAAGTACTATACTTTAACTCTTATTTTGAAAAGAAACCATCACCTGGAGAAAGGCAAGAGCATAATTTCTCCTGGAATCACTGAACCTCTGTTCTCTCATCCATTCAGCCTTTAGTATGAGCAGAAACATGCCTGCTGGAATTTTGTAAATTTTTTAGGGCATTGTTTTGTTTTGCTTCATCCTGTAGATCCTTTGTTGCATGCCCCTAAATTTTACCCTTGACTTATCCATGGGTCATGTCAAAATCCTTAATTTTGGCCCCAAAACCTGCTTTTGATTAATACATGAAGTTGACGTATAGTTGTGTATATACAATATTAAATACGAAACTGCAAAGGACAATCAACCAATAGACTATTTTAAGAGTGTTCATGGTGATTCCTTTATGTGCTTCCTCATAATCTCTGTACAGCTGTTAGAATGTTTTGAGCTGCTTTATAAGTGGGTATCATAATGATAAACTCAACCCTTTAAAATAAGTAATACCAAAGGGATTTGCACATTTGTCATGCATAGTACATATATAAGGCCTTGGAAATGTACAGTATGTTGAATTTCAGAGAGGTGACCAGAGGAATAAGCATTCCTGAACAATAAACACACATATACCCAGAAACATGATGAAGGAGATGCCCTCTGTCCTTAAATGACATAATGATAATGTCTTCACTGATTCCAAATCCCTCTAGCTAGCTGAAAGTCATCATGGTATCTTTCCTTATCATTTGGTTTGTACAGTTTTTCTGCCCTAGAGACCAAGATTTAGATATAGGTATGAGGAAGATAGGAGAGCCAGTGTGGTATAGCGGTTTGTGTGTTGGACTATGACTCTGGAGACCAGAGTTTGATTCCCAGCTCAGCCATGAAATCCACTGGATGACCCTGGGCAAGTCACACTCTCTCAGCTTCAGGGGAAGGCAATGACAAACCTGCTGTGACCAAATCTTGCCAAGAAAACTCCATGATAGGTTTGCCTTAGGGTTGCTGTAAGTTGGAAATGACTTGAAGACACACAACAACAATGAGGTAAAGATGTGTGTCCTGATTTGGCCTGGATAATTCAACCTCAATTTCCTTGGAGTTTTTTCTGCTCAGGTAACAGAGGGGGAATTGAGAGACAGACAGAGAGTTTCAGTGGTATTCCAGTGGTCTTGACCTCTATCCCCACTTGTGTGACAGTTAGACCATGTCTGTGAGCTAATACATTAATCTAGACCTGAAGGATATATTCTTCAGCAGTGCCAGCCCTATCTTTAGGCAGAGTGAGGCAGTCACCTTGGGCAACATATGCTGGAGTGTTAGCAATGGCAGGCTTACAGCTGTTCATTCTGGTCCCCTTTGCCACTCTCTGCTTTGAGAGGACAGGACTGTGTGTGCTACATGCCCTCTCTTACATCCCTTAAACTAACCTGCCTTTCTCCAATGTGACACGGTCTCATTGCCATTGTTAGAATAAGGTTACACTGACAATCCAGACAGCTTCTGTACATGGAATGTTCATCTGGATTGACGAGGCCAAATTTAAAATTGGGTCTTGCATTGAACACATGCTTGTTATACTCTTCAGCCCAAGATGCCTGTGAAGCCTATACAGATCCCATTAATATATATACCAATCCCATTAGTTCAGTAGGTTCTAGCCCCAGAAAACCATGTCCTCAACACCAAGTCTTTTAAAACTATGGTAGTGAATCCTCCCATTTCTGTAAAGAGTCCTTGCTCTAACATCCTCACATTACTTTACCCTTTTCTTTGCTCACTTGGGCTTGTATTTCATCCCTACTCCCTATTCACTCACACCCCCTCAGACCTCCCACATTGTCAAGTAAGATCTTTTTTCACAAATGGCAAGATGTATAGGATCCTCTCTTAAAAGACAGTGGCTCTTACAACACATAAGAGCCTTGCAAGCATGTTACATTCCAATCCTTTGCCCACACCTATCCCAAAACCCAGCTATCCCATTGATATGCCTGGAAGTGACTTGGAAAAGAAACGGTTTTGCTTCCATTTCACCCCTTATTTCAGTTTAAGTGTCTAGGCTCAGTTTTTCCCCTGTTATCTCTGGCCTCATTTTTCAAGAGTACCCAGATCCTTTCCTGGTCCCCTCCAGCTATCCTAGTATTATCCTGTGGAGTTGATCAACTAGGATGATCAAGGACAGCATGAGAGGATGCAGCTTTGCATATAATCTGCCTGTGTTAACTTGCCCATGTAAATGTAAATACAGAAATAATTGCTATAATGTCACTAAAAATGCAATCCTAATAACCATATAAGAAAAGACTATGGATGTATGGAGCAGCATAAATACCCTAAGGCACCAGATCATGTCTGATCTTGAAAGCTAAGCAGGGTCATCTCTGATTACTACTTGGATGGGAGACTGCCAATGAATAGCAGGTGATGTAGGCTCAATTTCAGAGGAAAGAAACTGGCAAAACCATCTCCAAGTATTTCTTGACAAGAGACTTGAAGGCAAAATAACACACACATGGGTGCATGGACTGTGTGTGCCTACAGCTCAGTCTGCTGCCCAAACACTTCTGACTCTTAGTGAACTGCTTCAGATTCCTTGTCACCTCTTCCTCCTCATTGTTTTCTTATAATCATCATAATCATCATAATCATCACCACCACCACCACCATTTTTATGGACTGCATTTTCCCCAAGGTTGGGACTCATGTCTTTCAACTTAAAATGATTACAATATAATTAAACACATACAAAAAGTCAACATTAAAATCAAATCAAACTGTTAACAATATTACGTTAACCTGGGACTTAGACTTGACAGAACAGTCCTTCAAAGAGAGTAATGTCCTTGGTAAAGTAATGAATGTGTCCACCCTACTTCATTTTCCCTTCTACATCTCTAGAATAGCACTTCACATTTTTTTTAAAAAAGTCTTTTCTTTCCTCTCAGTCCTGATGGGATATATGATGTTTCAACCAAAGAGCTCATGAACAATCAAGGTTGGGATCAAGCATAGTAAGATACTTAAGTATTATATGTGCTCAAGCTCCGCAGTCCTTCAGTCACAGAAGGAAAGAGCATAATATAGCACCAGCCAGTGTGACTAACTGCCAGTGTGGTCTAAATACCCTAAAGGCACCAGATCCTGTCTGATCTTGGAAGCTAAGCATGTCAGCCCTGTTTAGTACTTGGATGGGACACCACCAACAAATACCAGGTGCTGGAGGCTAGATTTCAGAGGAAGGAACTGGCAAAACTACTTCTGAGCACTCTTTTCCTAAGAAAATCCTATGAAATGTATGGGGTCACCGTGAGTTGACTGGTGACTTGAACACACACACACACACATGCACACATTCATTCCCCCTTCCCTCCAACCAACCTATCCATGTCCAATTTTTCTATCCATTCATCCCTTGATTTCTAGGGAGTAGGCTGAAAGGTAGGAACACAGCCCTATTCTCCATCAGCAGCTACATTTTAAAGACCTGGGTTCTGTAACAGTAAATAAAAGAAGCGTCACACCACAAATAAAGCAAAATATCCACTAGTAAACTTACCTCATTTGTATGTCATTATGTAAGTGAGATTATTCCACTGTAGGTTGGGGTCAGTCAATTAATCCCGCCTAATTGGAATAGATGCTCAGTTAATCAGATTAATTATATCTGGGAAGGATTTTTCAGAATGATATGAGATTAAGAGACATAAAATATATAAAAAATAAAGTGTTTGTTCTTTATTCTCTCATTGTCCCACAGTCCTCAAGAATGGTGCATTGAGAAGTTGAATAGTGTGACCTATACAAAAAAATTCAGATTAATCCCTATTACTCTGTATAGTTTATTCTCCTTAGCCATAGTGAGGTGCATGGAGCCATACAGGAATCTTCTTGTGACCACTTAATATCTTACACAGCAGTTTCTCTGTCTTCTAGATAGATTTAACCACATACTGCCCTCACTCTCAACATAGATTTGTTTCCCTAAAGGCTAGAAACTTATTTTTCATGTATATGTGAAAGCTAGGAGCCCTAGAAAGCTAAATGCTGCAGCTGCCAGCAAGCCTCATGTTTACAGGTCTCTTGGGCTTAAAAGCAACTGTTAGTCTCCAACATAAATTAACCATTTGATAAATTGACATTTTTGTAAAATTCAGTTGATTGAGTGGGTATGCTCCGGTTGACACTAACAATTGGATTTAGACTATAGCAGGCACACAGTCTTTGTCACATCATGTGGCATGGCTCACTTGCTTTTTGTTATCTGGAGATCTCTGGTTACTCAAGTTGTTGTTGTTGTTGTTGTTGTTGTTGTGTGCCTTCAAGTCATTTCTGACTTATGGTGAGCCTCAGGCAAACCTATCATGGGGTTTTCTTGGCAAGTTTCTTCAGAGGGGTTTGCCCTTGCCATCCTCTGAGATTGAGAGTGTGTGACTAGCCCAGGGTTACCCAATGGGTTTTATGGCTGAGTGGGAATTCAAACTCTATTCTCCAGAATCATACTCCAACTCTAAAACCCCTACAACATTCTGGCTACTTCAATGCAATTGCCTCTTTTCTCGTTGGCTCACCATCATCTAAAATGGGTGAATGAGTGTGACTGTCTTGGGCCAGGACTTTTAACTTAACAGTCCTTTGGTCCACCTCATCTTTGTTCTGCCATTAGCAACAGATAAGGCAAGCATGTAGATTAGCATGTTAGAATGTGGCTTTCTAGATGCTATTAAATTTTAAATCCTATCAGCCCCAGCCAGCCTGGCCACTTGTGAGTGATGGTGGGAGATGCATAACTGGCACCTGATGTGATGGCTTTCTTTTGCACCTGTTGAGGTTGACCCTGACTGACACCAAAGTTGGCCTATAGACTGCTGAATTCTGCAGGAATGCCAACTCTCAGAGCAGAGCAGAGGTCAATGTAGGCCAGTGTCTGAATGGAGAAGCCTTGCCTAGAAAGCAAGATGCAAGCTGGCAGTAAGGTGAGGTAAGCTGATGTGGAGGGGCACAAAAGGCAAAGGAAGACAGAGGATGAACTGACAGGTGCATATGCCTGGAGCAAGACTGGCAGGATAGACAAGCTAGACCAAAGTGACTTTGGGGTATTAGCTACTCCTGCTAATTTGGTTGCACCTGCAAATCTCATAACCATGCCCTCTGTTCATTCATCTAAGTCACTGATAAGGATGTTGAATAGCCCTGGGCCCAGGACACAACCCTGTGGCACCCCACTGGTCACTTCTCTCCAGGATTAAGAAGAAGGAGCCATTGCTGAGCACCCTTTGGGTCAACCAAATATAAATCCGTTTAACAGGTGCATTGTCCAACCCACATTTTACTAGCTTTTTTGCCTGATATCATGGTGGACCTTGTCAAAGGCCTTATGGAAATCAAGATATGCTACATTCACAACATTCCCTCCATCTACCAAGATTGTGACTCTATCAAAAGAGATCTGATTAGTCTGGCATGACTTGTTTTTGAGAAACCAGTGTTGAATTTCGATGATCATGGTATTCCTTTTTAAGTGCTTACAGACTGTTTAGAATCTTTCCTGGTATTGATGCCAGGCTGACTGGATGGTATTTATTTGGGTCAATATCCCAAACAACTATCCACTTCCTGGTGCCTGGAAAAGTTTCTTTTTTTT